GGGGGGAGGGGGCCCGAGGCTGCGGCGCGCGCGGCTCACCACCCTGCCGTCCACAGGGAGCTGTCGCAGCCACCCCCCTTGCTGTCGCCCCAGAATGCCCCCCACATCGCCCTGGGCCCCCATCTCAGGCCCCCCTTTTTGGGGGTGCCCTCGGCCCTGTGCCAGACCCCAGGTGAGGAGTAGGCTGGTGCGCGATTCTGTGCCCCGGAGGTTGGGGGGGGTTGGGTGGGGCTGTTGGTGCGGGGCCATCCGGGTTCGTCACAGACCCCGTGTCCATCAGTGCTCCCGGCGAACCCGCCCCTTCCCCTATGGAAGCCAAGGACAGACCAGGGCGGGCTTGGGTGGCCCTGGACCACTCGGCCACCCGGCCTCGTGGTCTGTCCCCTTCCCACCAGGCTACGGCTTCCTGCCCCCTGCCCAGGCGGAGATGCTCGCCCGGCAGCAGGAGTTCCTGCGGAAGCAGAACCTGGCCCGGTAGGTGCTTCAGCCGGGGGTGGGGCGGCGGGGCGGCGGGGCGGGAAGTGTCACTGCCGAGCTGGCTGATACCCTGCGGTCTGTCTCCACGGCCAGGCTGGAGATGTCAGCAGAGCTGCTGCGCCAGAAGGAGCTGGAGAGCGCGCACCGGCCGCAGCTGCTGGCACCCGAGGCCGCCCTGCGCCCACCCGACGGTGCCGAGGAGCTGCAGCGGCGCGGGGCCATGCTGGTGCTGAGACACAGCTCTGCGCCCCTGCTGGCCCTGCCTCCCCAGGGACCCCCGGGCCCCGGCCCCGGCCCCCCCACCCCGCCCCAGGAGCCTGCCCGCCGAGCTCCTCGGAAGGGGGGGCCCAGCCCTGCCTCAGCCCGGCCCAGTGAGCCCAAGGAGACCACAGGGGCTGGGCTCTGGGCACAAGACGGCTCTGAAGATGAGCCCCCCAAGGACTCAGACGGAGAGGACCCCGAGATGGTGGCTGCTGGGGGCCAGGGCCCCATCCTGAGCCAGGACCCAACTGGAGGGGCCAGCTCTGAGGAGAAGGGGCTTGCCTCAGGGTCCATGTTGCCCCCTCCTCTGCCCCTGGGCTTGCCCTACACGGTCAGCCCCTACTTCCACACAGGTGGGCAGCCCTGCCACGCCTTTAGATCCCTCCATGGGGTGGAAGGAGACCCAGTCCCCCATCCCCCACCCAGGGTCTCAGGAGGGCGTCCACCGGGAGAAAGATCCTTTTCCGTCATCAGTCCAACATTTTCTGAACAATTAGGGCGAGCAAAGGTCAGCAGACAGGGGTGGGAGCATAGGAAAGAGCTGGCCAGAGTCCTAGTAACGCTCTACCCCCAAACCAGGCGCCACGGGGGGCCTCCTCATGGATGGGGAGGGGGCCGCAACGCCCGAGGACGTCAGCAAGTGGACAGTGGACGACGTCTGCAGCTTTGTGGGCGGCCTGTCGGGCTGCGGAGAATACGCACCGGTGAGGGCCCCGCCCAGGATGGTCTGAGCACCCAGCTACCCAGCGCGGCTTTTCCCACCCCGAATTTCTCAAAGACTGCGGGGGTGGGGGCACGGGGGCACACCCCACCCCCCGCTTTGTCCGTGCTTCCGCTTCCAAGGCGGGACACGTGCCTGACAGAGGAGACTTTCATCTGACTCTTTTTCCTGCAAGCTGCGCCAGCCGCTCCTCTAGGCTCTGCTTTCTCTGGAGAGCTTTGAGGCCACCCCAGGACACACAGCCCTGGCACTCATGCCCTGACACTGTGCCCCCCACCCCCAGGTCTTCAGAGAACAGGGGATTGACGGGGAGACCCTGCCCCTGCTGACAGAGGAACATCTCCTGACCACCATGGGGCTGAAGCTGGGGCCTGCTCTCAAGATCCGGGCCCAGGTGAGTGCCTGCTGGGGGCAGTGGTCTCCAGACAACGGAGGGGCAGCACTGAGGCTCCGCGTGTGGCTGCAGGGCAGCGGCCCCGCAGGCCCCCAACCAGGCCCGTCTCTCCGCAGGTGGCCAAGCGCCTGGGCCGAGTCTTCTACGTGGCCAGCTTCCCCGTGGCTCTGCCGCTGCAGCCACCAACACTGCGGGCTCCCGAGAGGGAGCTCAACTCAGGGGAGCAGCCCTTGTCCCCAGCACCGGCCCCCTCGCCCTACGGGGGCGCGCAGCCCCCTGCCAGCCGAGCCTCACCCAAGCAGGAGAACGGAACCATGGCTCTGCTCCCAGGGCCCGCGGACCCCTCCCAGCCTCTGTGCTGAGCTGATTTCAGACCCCCCATCCTTCACTGCCGGCTGTTCCCTGGCAAAGGCCCCCGACCCCACAGCTTATCCTCCTTTCGGTTTTGGATGCAAAAACACAATTTTTAAAACGAAAACACATGATTTAAGAGGAAAAGAACTGAGTTTCCAAAGACTCTCGGGGGGTGCCTGCAGGGCCCAGTGCAGACCGCATGGGGACCGAACCCAGGCCCGGGGCGGGGGCGCTGCACGCTGGGTGGCTGCAGACAAAGCAGAGATGGAGAAGGCGCAGGTGCACCCCAGGCCCTGCAGTGTCGGCCGTGCGCACAGCATGACTGCGCGCCAACGCCGGGCAGAGCCCCACTCTAGGTCGGCACCTTCGTGGGGAAGGTGCATCTCACCCGCCACCATAAGTTGCGGCAGGAGGCCAGCCCCACGGTGGTTTACGTCCCCACGGCCGCCGCTCCAAGACCTGGAACAGCACTTGGTCCTTTCTGCCCTGCGTGGGCACGGACCCCAGGGCCTCAGCTCAGCCGCAGCCGGGAAGCGGCACACCCGACTGCCTGGTGAGGTGGGAATGCCACGCAGCAGCCCCCCACGAGGCTCCAGGCAGGCAGCCCTCAGTCATCCTCGTCCTCGGAGAGCTCTAGATCCTGCAGCTCGTCTTCCGGCCCCTGGGCCAGCCGCCACGGCTCCTGGGGATCCGGCCCCGCCTCTGTGTCTGGGCTTCCATCTGCAGGGAGAGCCACAGCTACATAAATTCTGCTTTATCAGGAAGAAGCCAGCCTAGGAGGTTACTCATCACTAATTAATCACAGCACTAATTAATTTATCGCTGCTGCTGTTGCTGGGGGCCAGAGCCAACGGGGATGGAGCAGCTGGCCCAGCGTCCCGGGACGGGGGGGAGGCGCGGGGGCCCAGCTTAGAGCCAATGGCCCTGCCCACCCACCGGATTCCCCATGACAGTCTCGGTCCCCAGACAGATGGGCTCAAAAACCACGGCATCCCACGCTCTCAGGAACCACTTACCCTCTGAGCCGCTGACTTCCTCCACTCTCTGCCAAGCTCTTGGGGACCCAGGCGTCTCTGGGGACCAAGCACAAGAGCCCATGGGGGTGGGCCCACCAGCAAATGCACAGAGGAGGGGCAGCTAAGGCAGGACGGGGGCTGGGGCACAGCCCTGGACCCCACTTCCCCTTAGGTCTCCTCTGTTCAAGTGGGAGAGGACCCAGAACTGCCCTGAAAGGTGGTGGTGGGAGGGGGGGACACAAGGCCTGGGGGCCCCACCTCTCTCTGGGGAGTCTGCGGCGTCGTCATCGGCGTCCTCAGCACCGTCCAGATCAAAGAGGTCCTTGAATTCTGCTCTGTCCTCACCCTTCCTGTCCGCCACCTTGCGGCGCTTTACCTCTGGGAAGTTCAAATCTTCCAGCTGGAAGGACAGGGACCCAGAGCTGCAGGTGAGGGTGGGCTCTCAGGGCTGCCTGCCCACCGGCCATAGCCCAAGCCCAAGCCCGACGCACATTCCAGACCCAGTCCTGCACCCTCCTACCCCGTGAGCCCCTCCTCTAGCCTCCAGCCCCTGCCCCCACGCAAGGACCCCACTTGGCCACTTTTGGGACACTTGGTCGGCATCACTGGGTAGGGCTCCTGGACAGCCGCCCTACCAGGCCAGTGAGGAGGCCGCTAAGTGACATCAAAGCTGCAGGCTCCAACCATGCTCCTTCCCTAATTTTCAGCTGTCACTCCCAGAACAGATGGCCTGCCCATACTGACACCAGGACAGGGATGCAGACAGTCATGCCATTTGGCATGAAGCTGTCCCCTCAGGTCACAATGTCACGCACCCACCGATCAGGCCCAGACCCAAAGACAGAGCTAGAGCTCTTCCTATACCTCCCCGCTGGCCCTCCTGGTGTCCACAGGCTGGCCTAGGTGACAAGGTCAGCCCAACACTCGCTCCTCCAGAAGCCCCAGCCCATCAGACCTGAGGGGCAGCAGCCTCTGCCCCAGCACAGCCCTGGGGCCTCTCCACCTGAGGGTCGTGGGAGCAGCCCCCAGACTCTAGCTGGTTGTGCCCGCCATCCGCCTCATCAGAGCATCGGCAGCACCAGCACACGGTGCAGCTAGGGTGGCTGGGGGCAGCACCCCCGAGCCCTGCTGACGTCCTCCCAGCCGTGCCCGCATCCCCGACGCCCCCCCACCCCCCCATCTCCAGCTGGATCTCACGGTCCCTCAGCTTCCGCCACTGGCTGTAGTACTTTGTGAGCGGGGTCCCCTCCTCCCGGGTCCGCTTCTCCCAGGCATCCTGTGCAGGGAGATCCAGGGTCATGTCCCACCCCGGGCAAACCCCCAAACCTCAGCCACACACTGACCAGTGGCCCCGGGGCCCCGGCACCAGCCCCCAGCTGACCACTGCGCGCTGATCGGACACGCCGAAGGAGACCCTCTGGCGGAGGCTGCGGATGTGTTCTGCGTTCTCCTGCACCTTCTCGAGCAGCTGGCGTACCTGACGGCAGTAGTTGGCCACCTTGCACTCCCGGAGGAAGGATTTCAGCTGCAGAAGAAGGGGGGCTCAGCCTAGCCCCAGGCACAAGGCTACTCTGCACCCCGCGAGCGGTGACCACAGGCAGGCGGGGGCGGGTCATGGGTTCGTGTGTCTCAGAGCCCTGGGGGACGCACCTGAGGTTGGGGGGAGCCCCAGTGCAAGTGTGGGGGGG